CTTTCCGGCTCACTCGCTGGTCCGTCAGCTTCTTTTCCTCCATGTTCTTTACTTTTGGAGCCTGTTTTTGTCTCCAGCACTTCCTCTCCATTCTGTGACCTGTACTCAGTTTCGTTGTAGAGTGCGATGATGGGCCTGTCATCATGTGTGCCATTGTCAATTAGACTCCTTAAGAAGCGGAAGGAATCGGTGCACAGGGAATGAGGAAAACGCCATGAAAAACACCTATAAGGAAGGAGAGGGAGAGGGGTGGTGAAAAACTTCAGGGGGCAGTAAGTAGTGCAGGAAGAATTCACATACTGGACTACTGGATTTTTATTTTATTTTTATTATTCTGTATCCACCTGTACAGTTTATGGATGCAGCTTATTAACCAGGCTTGCTAGCTTTAGGTGAATATCTTGAAGCTTTACCATCTTCACTTGTTTCTAGGAATCCACCACATAATAAAAAGGACCTGACACCGGATACAACTGGCTAATGAATCACTCTGGATTTCCTGTAAGCAGTCAAACAGAAACAAAGGGCTGGAAGGTATGCTGATCCCAGGGGCACCCCTTCCTAAAGGGTACTTACCATAACATAGTGCACATAACTATTTGTCATGAAAGCAGCCTTTGTGTGAGAAATTAAAAAAACCCAAAGACTTCTAGGTTTCTAGACGAGTTCTAGCAGTTACAAAAATCACCTATAAGTGCTACTTATGAGTGCTACTTAGGTGAAAATGGCTACAGCTCTATTCCAGCTAATTAATCAACTCATTCATTCAGACATACAGTACATTTGGAAAGTGTCCATTAGTTATAATGTAGTTTCTTCTTCCTTTGTTTTGAATACCTCGCCACTTTTGATGAGCAAACAGTGGAGCAAATAACATGTGGAGGACAGAGGAGGAGCCCTGGGTTACCATGGTAATGGAACAGTTAGTAAAACATTCCCACTCCGTTCTCCGTAGTGTAGAACGTTCACTCCCGACCAGCTACCAGGATCGAGTGTTGTTTCAGTGATGCGTGCGAGCGTATCATTTCTCAATTGGTCGCGTACCTGAAGTAGGACTGGGACAGCTGGTAGGACATGGGCAGGATGGGCAGCGCTCGGTTCTTCTTCGGCCCAAACTGCTGGCTGATACGCCGGCGGTTGACCAGACCCCTCTTCCTGCACTGTATGAAGACTTTGCACAGAAGCTCCTGGTCATACTGACTGTACAAGTGGAAGATCTACGACAGAAGTGAGACAAATAATCAAAGGACTGAGCCTTAAAACATGACACAGATCTACTTATTAAGGGAATTTAATTCTATATAAAGCTTGATTACACTTTTTAATGATTTTTTTGTTTGAAGACATGAATAAAAAAAATATTCTTTACAGATAAACTTAGTTAAAGGGAGATTTTATGGAAAAAAGGACTAAAACTGAAGGTTGGATGTACCTGAAAGGATCTGGAGGTTTTCATTTGATTGTTGGTCATGGCCAGAGTGCTCTGGATCAAGTTATGTAACACTACAGAATGAATGTCATCTGTGCTGCAGTGGAGACACACAAACAAACAATCACTTACTGCCATAAACATTCACATTCTAATGTAAAAATCTTAGATAACCTTACCTGTTCAGAGGGTCTTTGTATGGGAGCTTTTTCCCGCTGTCTATTGCAGAAACCTTAAACCTGTTTAAAAAAAACAAACACTTAGTGTTAGCTTTACACTTAGCACATATTGTATGTCAGCACATGAATCTTCCAGCTTTTTACCTCGAGAAGAGCTGCTGTTTGGTGTCAGGGATGATCAAATCATGAGCATTGACAATGGAGCTGAACTTCTGTCTGAGCAGCCGGATATACTCTGAGAACACTTTGGCACAATCCTAAAAAAGCACAGACAGAAATATTACACTTTCAATTCACTTAAATAAAGAAAATGGAAATAAAAGAAGAACGGCAAACACATACCTCTGGTTTTTCGGGATCAGCAGGTTTCTCCTTCTCCAAAAGAGTCATCAGCGACTTGTCCTGGTACACTTCAGCCAGGCAGATCCTGCAGCAAAATTCCACGAGTTTCATGAATGACTGGATTTAAAAGTATGTGTTTCTGTGCTATGTGCACTCACCTGTAGTTCAGAAGCGTCTGAGGATTTTTCAGGATGTATCTTGAGCGACGTCCAACGGCAACTGACGTTTTATCCGATGATATCTCAAACTCTGCGTGGAGCAGGTCTCTCACCACGCAGTGAGGTACAAACTGCCTTTTTAACTGCAACACATGATGTAATGTGCAGCACGTTTAGGAGGAAGTACGTGCGAGAAGGTGTAAAATTTAAAAAGATGATTGAATTTCTGTGCGTACCTTGCTGTTGAGCAGGTCCGCAGCCACACAGCAGAGCATCACCAGTGAGTCTTCCTGTACAGTCCAGTTGACTCTTTGTCTGGTCATCCGTTTCAAAGCCTGGTGGTCCGTCTCATCGTGTGCAGGAGTGCGTTTCTTGGGCTCTTTGATTATGAAAACACATGTTTTTCCTCACATCCAGCAGACACATGCTTTCATTTTTAGGTTCAAATGGACACTTTGTACCTTTTTTCTTCTTGCGTGGAACTTTGACAACATCTTTCTTGCTTCTCTTCCTCTTCTGCCCCTTTCCTCCAACCACCCGCTGGTTTCTGGATGCTGGTTCTATTCCCATCTGGTTATCAGTGAATAAGAATACAAACAATAACCTGCAGACAGCCTAAATAGATGTCTTTGAGCATTGATCAGTAATTAAATAAAAAGAAACAACACCATTACTGCCTTTGGATATTTACAATACTGGACATAAAAAGAATGAGCAGGTAAATAATTATGTTGTTTATTATATAATAAAGGCCCACATTATGATTGTACTCTCAATTTGATTAATAAAACACATACTAACCTTATGAGCTTAATTAAACATACCTGCTTAAAAGCTTCTTCAACAAAGTTAGAATTATTACTTTCTGTTAGGGTTGTGACGTACTAGATTATTAGACCAAATGTTGCACTGCTGCAACAGCGTTTCTATTCTTCTGCACATCCCATTACTATTAAGACTTGGCTGAAGACCAGAAACACAAACAGCTGTTCAACAGCTTCCTCAAATTGTATGTCGGAAAAGAAAACCTCTAAACATTGTTCATTTTCTGCAGGCAGGATTTAATGCAGGGCTGTTGAGGAGCTTTGAACTTATTTAATAGACATAATAAACTGGAAGATGAGCTAAATAGAAAATCCCATACCTGAACTTTTTCTGCCATCGCTGGCCGCTTGGATGTGACATAACGCGGTGTTGCTGTACCTCCTGTTGTAGAGATTTGTGGTTAATATAAATGTAAAAAGCTCCACAAACAGATGTGACATAGCTGATCACATGAAGTGGACAAAAGAAAAAAAAAAAAAACAACTCCTCACCAGCTTTAAGTGCAAATCTGAGAGCATCTTTACTCAGGAGGCTCTTTAGTCTGGTTTTGTTGTCCTGTGCCTCTAAACCAGATTGCCTCTTAAAAACAAAAAAACCCAACATGTCAAAAAATGCCAGCATGCATTCAACATGCACATGACTATCTGTATTGCATACTGCGTTTGTACCATGTTAACAGAAAGCAGCTGATTGGTCCAAAACCAGTTGCGTTTAAGATGACCAAAAAATTCAGAGTCCAGTCCTCCTGCTCCTTTACCGTCTCCTGGTATCAATCCGTCATCACACACTTCAGTACTGCCCCTGTGTGTGTTTGACAGATGCACATTCATCAGAGTGACTTTAAAACACTGCATATGAAAGGTTTCTGTGCTACTGTAGTACTGTAACTGCTCGAGTTAAAGTCAGCTTTAATTGAAAACGAGAAATGGAAGAAAAGAAGCACAGTGAATAAGAACCCAGCCACACAGGAAAATAGGTGCTCTCTGACTGGCTGACGTATACGGTTGTTAGCAGCTCAATAGTTTGCATGAAAGCTGCCAACTTGTCTGCAAACACTTGCAAACTACTCACCAAGTAGTGAAGTAAAACTTTACATTTCTTTTGCCTTCAAAGTTGGCTGCTGTGGTAAGGCACAACTTTTACTTTAATAAGTCACAACGCAATTTATGATGCAGCACCCTCTTTAAAACCGATTTCACTCGACGACAGCCAGGAACCTTCATGTCGTTTTTTTTCCTCCCTTGCAGCCAGAGGGAGAGAAATCATTACACACGTACTTTAGCAGGTACGCCAATCCTGCGAAAACGTGGCGTTCTTGCACAAAAGAAGGAGTCGTTTCCTCATCAGTGGTGTTCCTCTTACAACGAACTACCCCTAAAAAGAACATTTTCAAACAGGGACAGATTATTATTATTTGAATAATTGCCAGAGCAGTGCGTGCGTTTTATGGTCATGTATGCACGTACCCAGTGGTGTATTGAGGCAGACGCACATCAGGTCAAACCAGTACTTTTCTAGGTCATCAGCAGTGTTGAAGACGTAAGGGCGCCTTTCAAACGGTTTTTCAGGGCACTCTGTGACCAGCCAGTAGTGAGGCTCGGTGTTGGTGGTGTCAACAATAGTAGCATTACGTTTAAGATACACAAACACCTGGATAATTGAATGGATAAAGACATATTAATGCATAAAAATGCTCCTGAGCAGCTACATTTACAGCCATTGATAAGTAAGATTTTTGTGAAGATCAAGCTTTTTTTACAACCTTAGAAAAAACCTTAAAAATCAAAAACATGTAACATGCTTGTATTCCTTTTAATAGTCCTCGTACGCTTACACGTACTTTACTGTTTTAAGGTTTTGTGTACCTGGTCCTTCTCCATGAACTTCTCAATTGGACCAAACTGCAGCAGACCCATGTAGACCAACTTTAGCAGGTTTTCATGAAACACAAAGATGTACTTCCTAAAATAAAAAAAATAAAAAAACAAAAAATTGTCCATAAATGCTCACTTTCAGGTCCCAGATGTGGCGTGTTACCGAGAGGACAGAATGAAAATCACCGTTTATAAAGCAGCTGTCTTCTCATTCGTGCAGGCAGCGCTCTCACCAGATGATGTTGCTTTACAGGATCATTGAGATATTCCTCCAGTCCTTCCACCTGCGGGCACAAGTTAGCAGTGTTAACTCAAAAGAATGGGTCGTTCTGGCACTGTAGTGGTACAAGTGTGTTTAGGAGCACAGCATCTCAGCCATGAAGCAGCAGACCACATAAAGTCCCAAACTGGAGTTTAGCCAAGTGCTGAGATGCACAGTGTGTAAAAATCACCAGCACTCTGCAGACTCAGTAAGTGCAGAGCTCCAAACCTCCTCTGGCATTAACATCAGCACAAGAACTATACTTCCGTCCATATAGTGCCTCTAAAAGAACAATAACAGGGCTGATGTTTGCCACTTGAAACTCAGAGAAAACTGAAAGATGGGATGCTTTTAAAATATGTGAGCACATCTTTTAGTATTTACACAGTATTAAGGTAACTGATCCACAAATACCTAAACATTGCACTATATCTGCTACAAAATGAGTTCAAACTGAGAAAATCCGCACATATCTGCCACAAAGTTGACCCGTTCATCTTTTCAGAGAAAACATATTTTATATATTTTCCACTCCACACTAGCCAATGAACTGCATGGCCTTTTTTTTTTCCCAAAACAAAGCTTCACACTCACCTTATAAGTAACTTGAATAATTTGCACAAAAACAGAAAGAGGCAAACAGAGGAGCAGGTCGCCCACCATCGCCCAGCCGCTGCTATACTCCTTGTGAACACGGACAGGAGGGATGAATCTCTTCCAGGAGTCTTCATCGAGATAGACTATCAGCATCACACAGGAAATAAAAAAGGTGAACCAAGGACATTAGCTGGGAAAAATGCAAAACTTCCACACCCCTGTAGACAGAAGCAAGCAATCCAAATGACATTTTCATTAGAAATGCAAGTATACATAAGGCCGTCTCACCTTTCATGTCAGACTGAGAGCAACTATCTTTTTGCTCCTCTCCTTCATCACCAGATGCCACTTCCATGTTAGATAAGCTGGAGTCTGCACTTTTCCGGCCGTCACATCCGGTGCCAACACTGTCAGACAACGGTGTTGGTTTGTCCGCAGGTGTAGAGCTTTCTGCTTCTTTCAGATCCTGTTGTGCTTTGCTGTCTGCGGGTTTGGCAGCAGGATCAGAGCCGTCTGCGCCGCTTGATGATTGACTGGTTGAATCAGAGCTGCTGCAGTTGTGTTGGAGCGGATGCCCATAGATCAGGTACCAGAGGAAGGTATGCATCATGCGTAGACGATGCATTTTAGGCTGGAAGCCATAAGTCTTACTCAACCCTGGAACTATTTAAAAAAATAATAATAATAATAAAAAAGTGAGTCAAACATTTACTGGTGCCAGATCTGATTTAGTATACACAATGGCGTGATCTTAGCATGCCTGCTCAATTTACTGAATTTAAAAGTGTTTTTAGTCTCTTCTTATTTTTGACCATCTGATGAACAAAAATGTATTTTATGGTTAATTGGCCCCTAATTAACAACAATAAACCAAAAAAAATGTAAAAAAAAACAAACGAAACATCCACAATTAATACATTCCCTTGTTAGAAGAGTATTAAGGAAATCATGAAAATAATGTTTATTCTGCCAGTTTGATATAGAGCTTGAATCACATGATTGACCCACTGGGAGAAACTATTCGTTTTTTCTCATTTCTGTTCTTGGGAATAGAAATCTGTGGGAAATTAAAGTTGTCTTTTTGTTGTGGTATAAAATCAAAAAACAACCTCTTGTGGGCTTGAAGTCCGGGTCGTCATCGATAATTGCTTTCTTTTTGTCAGCCTCCTTTTCTTGTTCTCTGGCTCTGTCTTCAGCATGACTGAGGGACAGAAGAAGAATACCAAGGGCACAACAGGCATAAGCCAGTGAAACACAGAAGACAACACAGAAGTTCACATTCTGGTAGAGAAAGATCTGAATACATAAACACAGCAATCAGGCAGGCCAAGTGATCATTACCAAGATCAGAAGTCCATTTAAATCTCTTCACATGTCAACAAACACCGGGTAACAGTAAAGGCACTGAGAACTAGGGATGGGTACCGGTATCCGGTGCCATGATGGCACCGGTTCTGACATAAATGGTAGTAACCAGACCGAAAAGCAGCGCACATTTCGGTGCTTTATTTCGGTGCTTTATTTCGGTGCTTTATTTCCTGAGCTGTGATACACTTTAGATTCTAGCCAATCATTTTACGTTTCCGAGGATAGTAGGCGGGTCCAGGTACGTACGTTCTTTTAGAGCAGAGCTACAGATTAAAAATGTCCAAGGCGAAGCGGTCAAAGTCTGGCTATACTTCACAGCAAAATATGCAAACTCAGCAGCCTGCAGCAAGTGCTTTAAGCTGATGCTGTCAAAGGAGGTAACACCTCAAATCCGATGAAACACCTGGCGACGCATAGCGTTTTTTTAAAAGCCAAAAAATGCGCCGTATTTGATAGCTTGCTGCGAGACCTCACACCGGGCACCGGTATCGGATAAAACCTAAACGATACCCATCCCTACTGAGTACTGTGCAAAAGTCTTAAGTGAGCTGATATTTCTTTGCATTTTGCTTCTATTGTTCTCCAGACTTTCTGAATATGGTAAAATGGATCTTTCAAAGTTTTCCTTTAGACATGGCTGCCTTTTTGCTCATTTTCTCTTAACACTCAAGGAAAAAGAAGGCATCAAACTCAAGGGATGAACCAGTGTTGTGTCTATACATAACAGATAAATTAGCAAAGAACCAATTTCTTCTACAATCTTTTTTAGTTGTATCTATGGGAAACACCACTTTCCTCAGTTTCACAGCCATTAAATGGTGTTTTTGAGAGTCACCTTGTTGCTGCAGAGCATTAGCTGAAAATACCTCGGCTTGATGTGCAGCATGTCCTAAAATAATTTTAAAAAACTGGACAAGTGGAGGACAAAAGAAAAATGAGGGTTACCCTAAGTAGACGTTCAAGGGGAAAAAGGTCAAAAGGAAAGGGCGGGAAGACTAAGATATGCCAAATTACACACGAACTGGACTGAAAATCAGTGGCAACGGGTCTGATGGAGTGATGGATCTAAATTTAACATTTTTTGAGGCAGCATTTCAGCCTGTGGTGATGGGATCTCTTCAAAATTGATGGAATAATGATCACTAATCATCCAATCTCATCATTGTTCAGAAACACACTGACACCTGTTTTAATAAAGCACTGCCCCTACTTTCCATTTTCCTGGTAAAATATTTTTTTAAAAATGGAGGAGTCACGTAAGACATTAGGACAGCTCAAAAATGTGACTTATCTTTGATTATGTGCTCACCGTAACACTGCTGAAGAGCTGGAAATTCTGAATCGGACCTGCTCAATAACCTGTTTGACTCTGTCATCGTTGGGCTGAATGGACGGATGAACAATCATTTCAACCTACAGGTGCAACAACAGACACACATCAGGAGACTTTATATACGACTCCATAAAACTCCCATCTTGCCTGTATAGAAAGGCAGAGCAGATGTGATGTGTTCACGTACCTTCCTTGTCATCCCATCCTGTACAACAGTGGTCGTGTATATTTTAAGCAGGCCTTCTCTAGCGAGACTGTGGACGAGACGTACGATAGTCTTCTTGCAGCACTTTGAACTGACACCGTCCTGTTTCTCATCATCATTGATCATCTTCTGCAGCCTGTGGAAAGCACAGCACGCTCACACTCTCTTACCGTGCATCAAAAACACTTTGAACTTGAACAATTGAGATTTCAGACAAACTTACTGGAAAAGACCTTCTATGATTCTGAAGTTGCAGACAGCCTCAACTATCAAGTTCTTCCTCCTTAGCAGGCGGTACGTCTCGTGAGACCTCTCCCGAGTTATGCTGGCTTTTTTTGGAGAGGGGATACTTTTAACGACCACTGTGATGGGTGCCGCATTATCAGCTGCATTTGGTGTCTCACTTTGATGCAAAGAGCTGGCATCAGTTGAACTGGTTTCTTCCTTTTCCTCAACCGGAGCTTTGTAGGAGAGAAAGGAAATTTCACGGGCACATAATGCACGTCATCATCATCCCAAAGAAAACTATCAAAGTTATTTCAGTAACAAACAAAGAAAAGCCATAAAAGGAGAAATTACAATTTGGCAGATGTTTGGTTTTTAAGGGCTATAAATAAACTGGTAGCACTTTTCTTTGTTAGCTAGGTTTTTGCACCAATTGTGCACCAATTGTCCAAAGCGCACCTGAGCAGGACTTTCTGAATCACCCAACAAAAAAATTCCTCAGGCTGGTTTTAAAGCCCAACCTCACATGTAAATAGAAAATACTTGAAAAATGTCCTGAACTAACAGTTGGTGACCCCAGCTGCACTCAGAGAATGTGTTTCTCCTGCTTTTGACACTACGCCATCAGATGCATATTTTTACACTTTCATAACTGTGACTACATTTCTCTATAGGGAATGTTGTAATTATGCATACATAAGCGCATTTAAAATAAATGCATTATAATAGCAGGAGCACAGAAGAGCCCAAACAATTTCTTAAAACTGGATCACCTGACTCTGCACCTTCTGTCACCTTCTTTCAGCTTTATAGTGAAATTCTGCTTCTGCTTTAATGTCTACAAACTTTTTTTATCTATACTGTTATTCTTTATTGATTTCATCGCCACCCTGTGGCTCATTTGGAACAATCTCAGACCGCTTTACCTGGATTTGGGGAACAAAAACAATCAAACAAAAAATCCCGGTAAAATCCACTTTAGGCTTCCGTCTTCAGTCTGCTTGTTAGCAGATCACCATGTTTGCTATAATTTCCAATTACAGATGCTCGTTGAGTTTGTGTTTGCAGACAAGTCAGCGTCTTCCACAGAAACTAGTGGAGAAACCTGCTAACAATCAAAGTGATTGCAAGGAGGTGTGACCAGTGGTTGCCAGTAACTATACGCAGACAGCAAAGCAAATCTAAATCAAAATGAATATTTACTCGATGTTTTAAGTTTTAATTCAAATGCACGTGTTTGTAAATAAGTATTAGTTTGATCTTTCTCCAACTAGAAAATATACAAAAACATTTTTTACTTTATTTTAATCTACAGCCGGAGCTCTTCAGGTTAACATGTGGGAATTACCTGTCACAGCACCGGACACTGAGTCGGGTGTCCCGTGAGTCGCAGGTTCGCTGCACACTGAAGTTTCACCTGAGAGGTTCCAAAAAAACAAAGAAAAGTTAAAAACTCATCAACATTAAGAGGTTATGATGTAGATTTTACCTTATAGAGATTTAGTATCTATTCTGAAATCAGCAAAGGTGTAATGACTGCTCACACTCGGCTGGTGCACTCTGCATGACAGGAACGTCGGGCTGAGTGTGCTCTGCTGTCACGCTGCCATTTTCCCCCGTTGTCTCTCTCCTGGCTCCTGAGTTTCCATCCAGCCCTTCCTCTCTTGAATTTCCTTTCCTGTCTTCAGATGTCTGCCCCTCTTCCTCTGCCTCTTTGCTTCTTCCCTTGACTTCTTTTTTATTCTTCTTGGCTCCAGGAGTTCTGGAGCTTCCTTTCACTGGCGCCTTTGACGATGACGGCGTTTTAGGGGAGGTCAGTTCTGCACTTGACGTTTGAGGTGCGGAAGAAAAGAGCAGCATCTGCCGCTCCTGCTCTTTAGCGAACAGCTGGAGTTGATTGCTACTGCCGACACACCTGCCAAAAGATGTGAGCAAAAGATATTTTTTACGGCAGGATTTAGTGCAAAGTGGCGCAAAAATAGGAATTTAAAAAGGTATAATTTATGTATTTAGGGTTACAAACTTATGGCTGATGAATTTTGTAGTCCTCTGCCGACCCTCATCTTCCATGAATCCCTACAGAGCGAGGCACACACACACACACACAAGTGAAAAACAGAAATTTACAATGTAAAACAAAACTAAGCAACACTAAACGACCCACTGTTTTGGTAGATTGCTGCGGCATATCATTTCCTGGTATGAAAAGTCAAGACAATGCTGAAGTGCCGGCTTATAGATCTATGACCTCATTAAATAATTTCCTGATGAGTTTATGATCGCAGTCAGTACTTTGAAGTTTTATTGAAAACAACGCGATATTCAGTTTGTAATTTTTGTTCCTCGCTTGAATCAAGAATGAGATCGTGGACACCAGTGGCAGAAAAGAGTTTTCTCCAGTGGGTGGCTGTCCTCTGACTCAGAGACAGGGTGGGGCATCATTCGAAAAGGGCTCAGAGCAGCTGCTACTCTTTGGATGACAAGCAGAAATGATCCTGGGCTGGCAGTTGTGATGTCAGGTTTGGCATTTGCCGTTCATGAGGACGAGAAGAGCTGATATAAAAAGGTTGTAACCGATAGTTTCGGATGCTCCCAAGGAGTTACTTCAGAACATGGACCTGCATATTTAATTTGACACAGATTTTACAGCCCAGGGTGGGTTCCTAATGCCTGTGCTTCCTCTCACTTGTGAACCGACGACCTTTCGCGTGTCAGAGAAACAACGGCAGAAGAATTAGAGGTTAAGCAGGGACATTTCTAGCACCATAAATATATATACATTTTTAAAAATAAATAAAAACTGTATCAATCTATCAAGCAGATAATAATAAGGGCATTTAGAAACTGCTGATGGCACTAAAGGCCAAATCAGAGAGCACCAGAGGCAAGATTGTGTGCAGAATTTTGGGAAAACTTGGGGATTTACAGTTTGTAGCTCACCACAAATATTAAAAAAAAAAAACAATAAAAAAAGGAAAAAATGAAAAAAAATCAATTTAAATAAAGATGCAATCCTCCAATCTGACACCAAATAAACTTTCAAGTGGTAATCTGATCGTCAGCACATGTGCCAATAATAATAGCGTTAGGAAGGACGTTGTTTGTGGCGGCTGACCTCTGGTCATGTGGGTAGGAAGCCGAAACACATCTGACAATTGAGTATACCTCCAAATAAGCTATCCTGGTCATCATTACTGCTTTTTCTATTTTTAGCCTACGCACATCAATCTTTTTTTAAGAGAAGGACAAAAAGAAAGAAAGAAAGAAAGAATAAAAGCATCTGCCCAGACGTCACCTTGATCAACCCATCTTTCTCTAGCCTTCGCCAGAGCATGCGAGCTTCCAATTTGCTGACGTTCAGTCTGAATGCAATATCACGCTGGGGGATGCCCTTAGTGCCAGAGGATAGTACTGCGTTACAAGAGAAAAGGCAACAGTTAACACAACACTCGAGTGTTCAGCTGATTACGAGTAAGACAAACAACTTCCTGTGAGACTGAACAGAAACAAAGTGGTTTGAAGGTAAAATGCAGCCTTCATTAGAGAGTGCAGAGAACTGCAGTCTGTTCTTAACTGTCCTGCTGCACTTTCTTGAGTTATGAGGACTAGTGATGAACTTCAGAAACAACAATATTTGTTGCCTTATTTACACCTCACTGTCTTCATGGAAAGAGACGACATAAGAATGATATTGTACATTTCACGAGAAGATTACGCTTTAGCACAAAATCAAACTATTAATAACAAATTAAGTAGTAACAATTTATAATGCAAGGAAAAAGGCCTGAAGGAGAATTAGTCCTCTGCACCTTTGGACACTGAAAACATGGTTCAATGTGGTGAATGTCACCATGGAAACCGAGGTTTCAATCCCCCGTAAAAATGAAATCTTATTTTATCGCAGAAACCTTAAAAAAAAAAAAGACCAATATTAAATATTGCATGAGATTTTAACTGTTGTAGTAAAATTAACAAGTTAAAAAGAGCTAAATGTTTAAAAGGGGTAAAAGCCCTCTGCTCTTGGCTCAGTACAGCTGTGATCACACTCAAACATCAAAGCTCAAGTCTGCACCTTCATGCAACGGTTTGGAGCACAGAGAGAAAAATATCGCTGTGTTTACGGAAGTGTTAGCTTTTACCAGTAAAAGCATCAAGACTTCATTTTTCTTTTGTTTCTTAACTTGAGGAAAAGATCAAACATACTGATGTGATAGGCCTGTGTTAACAGGTCCTTCTCCATGATCCGCCCCTCTGTAAGCAAACCCCCTCTTCCTGCTCCACCGTCATCATCCTCGTCTTCATCGTCATCGTCATCTTCCTCAGCCACACCCTTCTTTATGTATGGCTTTAACAGCCTCACACAGCGAACAGTCACTTTGGAGCCTGAGAAAAAGGTAAAGCAGTGTACTCTTTTTTTTATGTTTAAATTTTAGTAACGCACCAACGAAAATGTAATTTCGAATACTCCAAAATCACTTCTTCATGGCTCTTTACTTTAGAAAGTCAAGCAGTGACAGAGTTGTTTTTTACCTCAACACTAAACATGGAATGAAGACTTTTGCCAGGCAAAAACGTGTGCATATACATCAAAATATCTGAGAAACTAAACACACAGAAACAGCAACTCTGTAAACTGCACATGAAGGACAAATAAGACGTTGATTATATCAAAAGGCAGTTGAGTCATAAGCAATTTGTGTCTGATTTCTTGTCTTTCTGATAGGTCATTAATATCCAAATCAAGCATACTTTGTGGTGCACTCATGCACTGTGAGGCTTATGTGGTTTTTCAGTGTTGCGTTACCATTTTTGTTGGTGCGAGGTCCAGCGCTGGGGTCCAACTCCTCCAAAGGGAATCGGCAAGACTCGATCAACTTGGATGCTCGCATGTACTTGAATAGACGCGAGTAAGTCCTGTCGTCCACGTTCTACGAGAAAAACAGACAACTTTCTACCACAAGCAGAAGGCTAGACAGACAGGAGCGACAGAAACTTGGAGGGATACTCACAACATGTTCTCTGAGCATGATAACTGTGGAAAACTGATTCGGACACTGCTGGAGAAAGTTGGACGTGACCTCCATCAGTATATCATACTTGGTCCTCCTGAAAGACAAAAACAGGAAGCAGATGTGATAAAGCCAACACGCAGATGGATGCACCTAAATTTTAAAGCTGCAAAAAGCGTGCACAGATTTAGGTGGTATCTTTATTGCTGAGGTGACGTGCATAAGACAGACTCTCAACTGGGGGTCCAAGGACAGACGATGTTTTATTTCATGCTTTTCTTTTTCACTGATGATGCTAAACCGACCATTCCCGTTTCTGCTTTTGATGAGATAAAATGTGAAACACAGAGCACAAACATACCTGTTTACATGGAAGCGTTTGAGCAGCAGAAGGATGGAGTGCTGCTGCTGTCCGGTCTTCATTCGCCTGACGTAGGACTGCATGGTGACCAACTGGTATCGGACAAGAGACTTTCTGAAGTAGTGAAACTTTCGGGCATCCACCCTGCTCAAACACAACACTGACTGTTAGAAGGATGACACCTGAGTGCAAGCCAGTCTGTAAAGGAAGCACAGAACAGCGATGGAACCGTGCTAAAGGTGGGTATAAGTGTCTCCTACTTGAAAGAGCCTCCATGTAGATCCCTCTGCAGCTCTCCTTGCCATCGTGCTCGGCCCACTCTCTCCAGCACGCAGTAAGAGTCGCTGCCGAGTTTTACATCAGGATCGCTCTCGCTGCCGATCAGGGCACGATATCGCAGACACTGTGATGCCACGACAACCAGCTTTCTCCCGTATCTTAGAAGGAAGAGAGAGAGAAGAGGAGAATATGTTACTGAAAGACTTTGAAAGCACAATAAAGGACAAATACATTTGTCATACATAAAAATTGCATTTTATTGATGTTTTGTAGGCATAACCATGTGATGCTAACTTTTCTGCCACTTAGGTCCTCTGTCTGCAACCATCTAGCAACCACCAGTCATGTGGAAAAATTAGTATTCTCCAACAGGTTGGGAGTGGTTGCTGCAGGAAAATCATTGCCAATGTCCCAGTCATGCAGGCCTGCAGACCAGTCGTTGCCCCTATGGCAACCACTTGTCACTAGGAAATCTAATAGCAACCAAAACAATCAATAGGAGGTTTTTGAAACAGCACCTCTGATTTCACACAACGCCAACCATTAGCAACCGGTATTATTAATCACATCCAATATAGCAGGCAACTCTGAAGCACTGTGCACGTGACATTGCATGAGAAATCTTCAACAAGCAGCATATTTAACCAGATTTAATTCCAGGTAGGGTTTTGTCAGTATCAGCGCATCTCTACAAACCTTTCCAAAGCCTCGTTCAAGCTGACCAATGGGGTCAGCGGGGACTTGGAGCGGACTTGCTTTGTGACGTCTTTCCTCGTGTTGAAGAAGGCACACGAGCCCTGAATCCCATCTTTGTTTTCTGGGACAACGTCGATGGGGTAGATGTCTTTGGGAGTGTCCGTAAAGCTGTCAGTCACTTCGATGCCTGTCTCTGCATCAATGTCCTTAAACCTGAAAGAAACAAGAGCAACTCCAAACATAAGGAGATGGCAAAATAACACATTTATTGCATTAAATTTCAATGGTAAACTTGACCCTGAAAGAAAAATGCTCTTACAACTACTACTACCTCTACAAACTAAGGTGTAATATTAATAACTATCTATATTTACACTAATAAAAACAAAAGAATTCACTTCC